CGGGTCCCGAGACGGGCCGGGTACCGCCCGAGGCGCGGAGGCGCTGGTGAGCGTGGAGCCAGGGGCGGCAGCGGCCGGGGCGCGCTCCTCTACGCTCCTCCGCAGCGCCTGCCGCACGCAGCCTCCAGCGCCGCTACAAATGGCCGTCTGGGGGCCGGGCCGCCGGGTGGAGGTGCTGCATATGCATGAGGGGGCGGGGCGCGGCCGCGCCCGCCGGGCTCGGAATCCCGAACCGACCGGGCTGCGGACCCCGAGGCCGCGCAGTCCTCGCGCTCGCCGGGGAGTGCGCGCGTGAGACAGCGTAGCAGTGAGTGTCGGGGCCCTGGGAGGAAGACAGTAAGCGAGACGGTGTGTGACCATAGCTGCATATGTCGGGGATTATGTGGATGAAAAATGACGCCATGTGACGGTGTGTGTGGAAAATAGAACTGTTGTCAGATTAGCTCAACTTGTAAGAGATAATATCCTAGTTTGAGTGCAGGCGGTGACCACGCTTGTGAAAAAAAAAAAAAAATCAACATACAACCGTAATTGAGCATTAGAGCTGTCACGGTAATTGAGTGTGTGATGGGCTACGGGTGGTGACAGGGTGTGAGGAATGTGACAATGACTGAGCAAGGGGAATAAATCACTGTGGTTGAGCTTACATGGACAAGAGCGAATGTGACAGATACTGTGTGTGTTGCTACTGTGTCTTCGTAGCTATGCTTATGTGTGAGAAACGTGTGGTAATTTCTTCTAAGGAGTGAGTGTGGGAGATGTAGTTATGCTTAGTGACAAACCACCTAACAGGCACTGTGGTGCGTGCTAGAGATGCTTTTGTGTACGTAATTGTGTCCCTGCCCTCCAGGAGCTTAGAATCCAGTGGAGACAGCCAGGACAAACAGGCATTTTATAAGGCATAGTGATAAGAGCTAAAACTACAAGAGCAACATGTGGACACATGGAGAAGCCTTCACCCCAGAGTTAGGTGGTCAGGGAGGGCTTCCCAAAAGACCTGAAGAATAGATACTATACGTACATAAGTAATTGCAAAAAAGTATTCCAGGGAAAGGAATATTTTCACCTGTTCTGCGGGGATTCTTGCTGTGGGAAAGAAAGAAGTCCGATTAGCATAAAACTACCGCACTGGAGCTGTCATGTGGAGACATGCCAGTCAAAAGTCTCCCTGAGCCCTCACTAGATGACCAACATCAGCTGCCAGACATCTGAGCCGTACCTTGGGGACACCTATGGTGTCTTCAGAGGATGCAGCCTCTGCTGGCATCCGACTGCAACTGCATGAAAGACCCCAAAAGAGAACCTCCTGGCTCAGTCCTTCCTGAATTCCTGACCCACAAAATTATGAGCAAAATAAAATTATAAACTCTATGTGTGTGTGTTACTGGAGATGAAACCCAGGGCCTCAAGCAAGCTAAGCAAGCATTCTACCACTAAACCACACTTCCAGCCCAAGCAGCATTTTTTGAATATTTGTCACACTGCACTAACAGCTAGAGAAGCCTCAGTAGCAGATATTATTACCAATGTGAACAAAGGAAGAGAGAGGAAAGAGAAACCTATATCAACAAGAAGTCCTAAAAAAGACAGGTGTGTTTCCCACAATGCCTATCAGTGTGTACCTAGTGCTGCAATTTCCCATAAGCCTTCAAGACCAAGATGCCCAAAGAGTTCTTCTTTCAGGAAGACTCAGAAATGGTGATGAAATCTCAAGAATATGTAAGTGAAACAATATATCCCCCAAGGAGGGGGAAAAAAACAAAAACAGGTATACCCACCACATCTATTTATTTCAGGGAAATCAGGTGTTGGTCCTAAAGCAATAATTAGTGTTCTGTGACTGCATCTGATGGAAGAACGCTTAGAGGGCCTAACCCTCATAATAGCTCAACAATAAAAAGGAAGAGAGGAAAAGGCAATTATAAATACAAGCTGATGAGCATATATGTGCCCAATGATAACAGTTTCCAGGGAGAAAACTCATTTTCAGGAGACCCTATTTCAAGAAACTGTATATTTAGCTGCTTTTCTATGTGAGCCCTAATGAAGATTTTCTTTCCTTCATGCGTTGAACCATTGCACTCCCTGTTTATAGAACCAATCCAACTCTGAAGTCAAGCTAGCATACCCATCCTGTAGAAAGCATGTGTTGATTACCTATAAGACATCCATTTCTCCATCCTCTTTCAAGAAGTGCAGTAGTCTGCTTACCCTCAGGGCATAAGTTCCAACATCCCCAGTGGATGTCTCAGTCTCAACCCTGGACTGTACCAAACCCTAAATGTACTACTTTTTTCTATGCTTCATATCCTGGATAGGACAGAGCATGATAGGGTAAGATTTCATTATGCTACTTGAAACAGCATGCAATTTAAAACTTACAAGTTATTCATTTCTGGAGTTTCTCATTTAATATTTCCTGATTAATATTTCCTTCATGCACTGCAATGGTAAATGGTCAATGGAATATGAATGGGGGGAGCGCTATAGTATTTCTGAATTCCTTCTCTATAATTTGAGAGTGACCTACCCTTACTCCAGATCTGAGGGTTAAACCAAATCGATTTAAAATTGTCAACTTCAGCCAGGCATGGTGGCACATTTCTGTAATCCCAGCACTCAAGAGCCTGAGGCAGGAGGACCACCATGAGTTCGAGGCCAGCCTGGGCTACATAATGAGTTCAAGGCCAGCCGGAAATACATAGCAAGACCCTGTCTGGGGGAAAAAAAAAAAAAGACTATCAACTTCACTTGCCCATAGCAGTTAATCAAAGCATGGTCAGATGACAAAATCAGAACAGTCAGAAACAGATTCAGTTGCAAAATCAAAGCTATAAGAATATCATCTATAGTTTTCACTGAGATGCCACTACACATCCATAAGGATGACTTTAATCAAAAATCATAAGTGATGAGGATATAGAGAAAATGGAAGCTTCATGCACTGCTAATAGGAATATAAAACAGTATCACTGCTTTGAGAAACTGTTATGGTTTGTGTTTAGATGTCCCCCAAAGCCTCATGTGGTCATAGGTGGGGCTTTTTCAGATGTGGCTAAAACTAGAGTCTATGATGCTGGGATTAAGGGTGTATGATTACTAAATCAGTCCACTGATTGGTTTGGAACTGTCCTAATCCAAATAGCCTAGATAGAGTATAAAAGTAGCAGAAAGAAGCTACTAAGGTCCCTTAATGCTTTGCTACCTTCTACCCACCATGAACTGTTTCTCCTCTGTGATACCACCCTTCCTTGGCATCAGCTGATTATGGACTAACACCTCGACAAACTGAGCTAAATAAACTTTTCCTACTTTAACTTTAGATGCCAGGTATTTTGTCACAGCAACAAGAAAAGTAATTGCAACAAAAATTTGGTACCAGAGAAATGGGATATTTGCTGTGACTATAACTGATCATGTGGTTTAGGAGCTTTTGAAGCTGGTGTATTGGAAGAGTTTAGAAAGATTTGGAGATGCTGAATGAAAAAGTAGAACTGGAATCTATTAGGCTACACTTGATGGGAGATTCTGGTCAGAGCTCAGAAGACCCAAATGCTGATAGAAATCCTGCTGATAAAGACCAGACTTGGGAGGTTTCTGCTTGGAAGAAGGACTCCATTGGCTGTTGGACTCCAGATAATGTATGTTATACCTTAACAGAAAGTTTGTCTGTGTTTTGCTCACGTCCAGAGACTACCTGAGGCGATGATTAAGGGTGGCAGACTAGTTAATCTTGCAGAAGAAATTTCAATGCAGTCTAATGTTGGGGCTGTGACATGGCTACTGTTATGGGTTTTTAGCCAGATCTATATTGAGAATCAAGATCAAAGAGTCCAGCAGAATGATTCAAAAGCTTGTGAGTTTGGCCAGAAAGGAAGCTCCAGTAAAGTTGCACTTTGGAAAGATGGAACACAGGAGAATTTGGCCACTAAAAAGACCAGCAAGGAAAAGCCAAGTTTTTCAGAAGAAGATAACAGAAAAGATAGCCTGAGGATGTACAAGAACCAACAGGACTCCAAACTCTGCAGCTCAGAGTTGCAAAGGTAAAGAATTTGCTTTGAGAAGAGAGCCTCAGAGCACCATGTTCCAGAATGACAATGGCCTTGGGAATTTGTTCCTTGGGATTGGCTTCAGAGTGCTCAGTGATCCAGGCACTTGACTCCTACAGCCAAGAGAGAAAGAAGCCTGGCTATTGCTCTTGCTGATAGCAGACCTTGGCATCATCCACATGGCAGTGGTTTTAGGTGCATCCAGAATGCAAGAGTGGTGGGGTCAGGAAGACTTCCACCCAGATTTCAGAAGA